ACATTATACTTACTAAATGTTTCTCATTCAAATCCTAATTTTAAAAGGATTTTCACATTAACATTGTAAAACTTTTATATATCTATTACAATTGTAAAAAATATATCAATCACCTCACATACCAGAAAATTTCATGAATTAAAATCTACTTCCCTTTTATATATCAACATTTTGACCCAATTTCATGACACTCACCTTCCGAGTGCCATTGTGCTTTTAAATAATCTTCCAAATTCTCTCAAAATCATCTGAGGGCTTGGTACCACAGTGGCACCACCCAGCACCGCAGAGCACCCTCAGATTCTCCTCTCCATTGAAGAGCTTAATGTCACAACATTGCTCGTCCGGCACCGCGATGCTCCCAGAGAAATTTTAATGAATTAAAATTTACTTCCATAGACACTTTATGACTTATAATTATCAATCAAATCAATATTTAATAAACATCCCTCTTAATTACTTCAATTATGAATGAGGATCATTATAATGGGTGGTTCCCTCAACCCCAATCGGCCTACTATAACCCTATTACCACCATTGCCCTATGATCCTCCAATAATCATCACTTGACTTTAGCCCTTTGACTCTCATCGCCTGACTTCGAACATTGAAGCACCATCACTAGAAAGCGGTTATCTAACCATCGTCGCCCAACTGTAATCCTTATATCTCTGTCGCTCGATTACAATCCTTCAACCTTCATCACCTGGCCATAATCCTCCAATCCTGGTTGCCCATATACGATTATTTTCATATATCCCTCGACTGTGATCCTCCAACATTCGTAGCAACTACTGTCATCCAACCATCGTCAACTGACTACGTTCTTCCAACAATCATTTTAATTCGAATAAGATCCTCCAACCATGATCGCTCGGCTACGATCCTACAACCATCGTCTCTCGATTATAGACCTTCGAACTCTATCATCCGATTATGGTCCTTCGACCTCCATTGTCCACCTATGACGACCCATTGACATCAATCGCTCGACTATGGTCCTTAGACCTTCATTGCTCATCTACAATCCTTCAACCACCTTCTCTTAACTATGACTCTACAGTCATCATTGCCTAACTACAACCCTCTAACCACAATCAGCTAATTACAACCCTCTAACCACTATCTCTAAATATAATCATTTAACCATTGTCACTTAACTACAATCATCTAACCAAAATCATCTAACTAAAATCTTCCGGCCACCATTACATTACTACAACCCTATGACCAGCCACTTGACTACACGAATGCCTCCTAATTGCATCACCTACTATCACCAACGATGTCAACACACATCATCACCCATAAGATCAATGCTTGTCATCGAAACTATCTCTGACTCCTAACATTAACGCCAAGATTTATGTCAAATTTGTTGGTCTCATGCTTCCCCTCCAAAAAGCACAACCAAACAAACATGCAAACAATAAAATAATTATCTCAAATAAAGTCTAAATCACATGATAACCAACATAACTAACTTTGCTATTTCTTATATTCTAAATTTACTACTTAATTTAAAATAAGATAGCAACAATATAAAACCCTAAGCCCTAAATATATTGAATAACGTTGACCCCAACTTCCTTTGTTTGTTATAAATATATTGGGTTTATAATCGGGTCAAGTTTTTAGATCTAGAAATTATTATATTTATTTTGTTATTCAAATTGAAGCAGAATAAATTTTTTTTTTCAAATAGTTTTTTCAGAAAAAAAAAAAGTTCATTAAAAAAAATTGAGGCACATTCGTACTACTGATTTTATTACTATTATATATATATATATATGAAATTAAAAAAAGCAAGAAAAAAAAAGAGGGCAAGTTTAAAAAAGGAAGAGTTAAAATAAAAACCAATTCCAAAAAACCCCCTACAATGCTAGGTTTGATAAGTAGCCTTCTTGCTACATTGAAATCGATAAATGACCCACCACTGTTTGTCTTGGTGGTGAAGAGCCGGCTGGGCAAAGCCCAGGTCCCTGATTCGAATCCTTTGGCAAGCAGTGAAAGCCTTAAGTGTTGGCCCGTGTAAATTGGTGTGGGTTGCATGCTAGGTTGACCGGGTTTTTCACTGGCCTAAGGACAGTGCTTCCTCGTCAAAAAAAAAAAAAAAAAAAAAAAAAAAAAAAAAAAAAATAAAAAAAAAGAAATAGATAAATGAGACCATGTGAGCCTCTAAAATCCAAAATATTGCACAAATAACTTAAATTTTATTTCATGCATGTAAAATAAATATTGTCTACAATCAATAAGCTATTAAACCCAAATCTCTAACTCCTACAAAATTGATTAATAATTATGCAGCGCTCATAGATAAAACCAACAGTACGATAGTTCCAGCAGGCATTTTGAGTATCAGAAAATTATGGGAGTGACTGAATTGTGATACATCACTACAGTGCCCTTCAACATCTCTTCATGGAGAAGGAAATATGTAATTGGCTCCTGAAGAACAATAAGAACTAATCAAATAAAAATTCATATTATATAATCACTTGGTCATACTAGATCTGTAGATTAAAAAATATATATATTGGCTTTACACAAAACTAAAACAAAGAGGGGAATATGGTGATCCACACCTTTCTAACCCATCCACAATTTTAATAGCCTGTCCTTGCCACCAGATGCAACCTTTTCACCATCTGGACTCCAGTCCACAGCAAAAACCTTGCAAAAAAAGAGAAAACAAATAGCTTTTGCAAATAGTTTCTACTTTAGATTTTCAACGTTGATGGTTTGAAATAAGACTTCATTTGGAATAGCTTTTTAGTATAAAATTTTTTAGTTTGAAAAAAATTAGTAATAAAAAGTTGTTTTAGAAAACAGTAAGAAAGCTATCCCAAACAAGACCTAAGTTTCTGTTCAAACTACTAGAAATTAGTAAATATTCTATAATCTAGATATAGACTTGGTTACAGGAGTCTAGGCGAAGTTTTGATCAAAACTAGAGAGTTTCATCCAATATTCATAAGTTCTAAATAAAATTTCCCTATCATTCTATCATTGAGGCCTGATCAAATTTCATGTGACTTGCAATTAGATAATTATCTTCATTTCATATCTTAAATATATATTTAAACTATTTAATGCTAAAAAATAAATTATACAAAATGAAGCTTTTGCGGTGGGACCAAAATCAATAAAGAAACAGAGTATTAAAACATTGATTTAACAAGAGAGCATTGTTACTGCAAATCCGAAATCAGAACTTTAGAGATGATAGATTACCTCATCTGCGTGACCTGGAAGATCTTGCTTCAACTTTTGTGCTCGGATATCCCAAACCTAGTTATTTAGCCATAAGAAATAAGAGAATGATGTATTCGCAGATAACCCGAGTGCTAATCTTTATGAAATATAAAGTTAACAAAAAGTCTCAGATAGAACAAATCATAGGAAAATCGCATATCATCTTTGGATGATCCCAAAAAACGAAAGCAATCGAAGCATGAGAGAAATACCTTAAGAGTAGAGTCTTTACTTCCGCTTAGAAGTAGCCTACTATCGGCTGACCAGCTAAAAAATTATATAGGCAAGTAAATTATCATTATATATAGATAGAGAGAGAGAGAGAGAGGGAGAGAGAGGGAGAGATAGATGAAATAAATATAGACCTGATCTGATATACTGGTCCAACATGTCCTCTGAAGGATGCAATAAATTTCCCAGTGACGCCATTCCACAACTTGACAGATTTGTCAAATGAAGCACTGGCCAACCATTGTCCGTCAGGAGAGAAGTATACATGGTTTACAAGCTGCAAAAACAGATTTGTCCCGGGCAAATCACTCTTAGATGGAGCATTATCCCATGGTAATATATGTGAAATATTTAATTTCGAGGGACAGGAAAGTAATCAAATTCACATAGTAATAAACCTTATAACTTTTCAAATTGAAAGCTTTAATCACCATCATCATCATTAGCTTTATCCCAACTACTTGAAATCTCATTTATTGTCCATTCTTGCTAATACTGCATGAGATTTTAAACTCAATTCATATAACATTTCAATCTATATTACCAATGGTTTATGTTTTTTTTTTTTCAAATTTTCCTTCACAATCTGTTGAACAAATTTTATCTAATCATCTAATAGGGGCATTTTGTAGTACTTGTCCAAACCAAAGTTTTCATAACTTAGTATTCAATAGATTTTTCAACATATTCTACTCCCCACTAATAAAATCATCCTTATATGTTAAATGTATCCCGAAAGGCTGAGATTTCAGTTGTGATATGACTTTGATTCGATGCATGTGCAAGAAACTGGTATTGAATAGGATCCGCCATCTAATTCACTGGCGCAGAAAATTGTTCTCAACTGCAGGAATCTTTTGGAAGGCGAGGTTCTTGAAGTAGTTATTTCTAGCCAAATTTTCTTTGTAATCTTACACCACTACCTCTTGTTGGTAAGTAGTTTCATAGGGTTCTTTAAGGCATCTAGTGTTGTAAAAGTTTACGAGTAAACTTTAGTGCAATATCTAGGTGCCTTAAAGTACAAAAAATGTACATATTTCTATGATTTTATGCAATTTAAAACATTTGGCAAACCTTACATTCAATTATTATGTATAACCAAACTATATATATATATATACTCCAGCAAAAATATTAATAACCAGTAACCATTACAATTTTTTCCACAAATATTTTGTTTTGATTTTTTTTACACAATACATTTATCAAAATGATTTTATTGGTGGCAAACGCTGCTGAAAAAAAAAATTCAGCGTCTTTTTGAGGGGAGTATTGTTACAGCTGCAGGCCAAGGGAGGCTGGACCGGCTGGCCCAATAGGCAGTAGAGGGCGCGGAACCTGGAACCAAATCCAGGGAGATTTCAGCCCCCCTTGTGAGACCCAATAAAGCAATAACTCATCACGTTATGAGGGGGAATTAAGGAGGAAATTAATTAGGGAAAGATCTCCTATTTGAATTCAAATAGGAGAGGAAAATTTATAAGAAAAAAATGTTAATTTGGGGGCTGATTTGAAGGTGATTAATTATGAGAAGTTTCCTAATTAAAGATGACTATTTTAATATTTGTTTTTTATTGTTTACTATAAGTAGTAGGATTTATGTTATGTTTTGTATGAAGAATTTTATTTGAAAGTTCTTGTAGTTTCTTTTTGTGAGGTATCTAGGTTGTTTGGGAGAGCTGATCTACCTCTCGAATTGTAGATCACATGTAATTTGTTTTTCGTATTGAAGTTATAATCCAAAATCAACCATTATTACTAATATTTCTGCAATTTTTCCATTATTCGTTTGTTGTTTTTGTCTCCAAGGCATATAAGATTGATAATACACTTGAATGTATACAATCTTAATTTCACTATTTTTTGTGCTAATAATGATATTATACATCAATCATGTTCTAATTGTGGTAATCATGTAGCCATCAATATTGCAAATGGTCTTATCTTTCATGAAAGAACAAAAAATATTAAGGCAGAATAGCACTTCATCAAAGGTGTAATCCTATCAAAATTTATTATCACTATACGCATCTTCAGTGAAGAACAATTAATAGAAATCTTTATTAAAGCTCTATGACCACATTATTTTTCTAATCTGTGTAACAAGCAGAAACTTATTAATATGTATGCTCCAATTTGAAGGGAAATGTTATCATAGGAAAGTGTCGAATTGGATGATCTGTTATAATTGTTGTATTATATATCCTCATAATTGTGGATATTCTCCTCCTAATTATCTTTCTTCTTTATTCATAGATATATTACAAGTAAAAGGACTTGGTGGTGAAAGAAGTTACAAAAAATTAGTGACAAAATAAGCATAAAGTTAAAAATTGACAAGCTAAATATTATTTAGACTTACATAAATTATAAGGAGGCTACATATTTTCCAAGGAAGTTAACAAAGTTAAGCTACAACTCTTGATGATATGTATAATAGGTTTCAGAACAACTAAAGAAGAATAGAGAGAGCATAACTAACCACAAAAGAAATTAGATCCAAGGATTTTGATTAAGTTAAATGTATCAAGCGTGAAGATTGCAAGATCTTGATGAGCGATGAAGTCATCAAGAAAAATTGAAATGCTACTATAAGAACATTATTCAAGGGATTAAATAAATAAAATTTAAAAAAAAAAACACCAAGAACAAAATCGTGACATAAAAAAAAGAGATGACTAATCATTGAAGAATATGCATAGACTTAAGGGTGTCAATATTTGACCCAACCCAAAAACCCGAATCGAAAACTCCGATTAGAGTCAACCCATTTTCCAAACGGGTCAGGTTCCTATTCAAAATTTCGACTCATTTGAAAAATCTAATCAGGTCCAAGTCAACCTACTAACTTGAAGTTAACCCAAATTTGACCTGTCCCGTCATCACTCCTACCCGCATGACCGCATCCCGCACAGCAACACAATTTGCTCTTGCCCGCAATTCCTAACCGCGCTAGTCCAACCAGTCCCGCTACTCGCACGGCGCGATCGCACCGCACGGTGTCTCGCCGCGACGAGTCCAACCCATGTGTCTTGCCCACGATTCCTGTCCGGGCATCCTGCCAGCCTCCGCTCGCAAGTTCGGCCTGCGCAATGTGTGTATCCCACCTCCACCCACGAGTCCAACCCGCCAGCCTACCGACGTGTGTGTCCCGTCTAACCCGCGATTCATGCCAGTCCCCGGGTCAACCGTGTCAATTCCGAGTTGGAATTTCTGACCCGTTTACAAAAATGGGTTGGGTTCGAGTAATGTCGAACAACATCAGGTCAACATCGAGTTCGACCCGAACCTGACTAGCAACCCATTTTTGACACCCCTACATAGACTAAAAATTTAGATCCAAATGAGATACCCACTAATAGTCTAAGATTTACTAGTAAAATCAAAATGATTTGATTATAATGAAATCCTAAAGACTAAGGTGTTGTTTGGTTGCTAGTTTCTAGTAGGACTTAAATTGGATTTAGCCTAAATTTTTCGATATGATTTATAAGTGGTTCCCAAATCCTTTATGACCAAAGTCCTATATTTAGATGATTTGGTAAATATTGGCTCAAATTCTAGTAAGGTTGAGATTTAAGAGATTTGTTTCAAAGAGAATTACTCAATCTGAGTAAATCACCCAAATCTTCCTATCACAGCCAAAAAGTCCAAAGATTTGGTTGGATATTGAAGCATTTGCAACAAAATAACCTACCATTTGATTGGATATTGAAGCATTCTGAATCCAGATTTGCTAAAATACTACCTTCAACCAAAACAATCCTAAAAGGCCCCATATAAAATATCGAATAATTGGAGAAAATTTCATTTTTGAATAAGTCTTAAAGAATAAAAGAGATGTTTGAAATTATAGTAATTATTAAAGAATAAAATTTATTCACATTATGATGAAGTTTGAGAGAAACTGAAATATAAACTTGAAAAATCATATTAGTGTTGGAGAATCATTTGGTTTTATGCTAAGATCTATTATGGAGATAATTTTTCAAACTAAGGATAAAAAAAGTAACTGTTGTGGTACTAGTTGTCTTTTTAAGACTTTTAGATATCATATGAAGCTTTTTTATCTCTATATATTTTTAATTAATCACCTTGGTATAAAAAATTAAACTAATAACACAAGAGTCACTTTATTGCGTAAAAGGTTGTTGAAGTTTTAGTAGATAAAAATGGCATAACCATACATAAGTAGCATAAAATGTCATTGCAACATGACCAAAGAGCTTCCAACAATTAAAGGATTATATAAAAGATACATAGGCTTAAGTATATTGTATTTATTATCTAAATAATACTAATATGGGCGAGAGCATAACTTCTGAAGTTGAAGTTAGCTGATTAAATAGAAAAGAGCCACGAAAACTATATGCGATAAGAAAGTAATAAGGAAAGTTATAAAAAAAAATCTTAAATAAATTGCAACTAGAACATTTATTAGTGCAAAAAAGAAATAAATGATAGCAAGTTAAATGAAGTAAAAGTTTGGCTATATGAATGTATGCTAAAAAATAGGAAGGATTGAATGTAAAATAATTATATCAGAGAGATGATGAGAGTGGCACTTATTAAGATAGTGAAAACTAGATTTAGGTAGTTTACGAATCTATAATATCAGGCAAATATGAATCAATAAAGCTAGAAAATAAACTAATGCAAAGGGTTAGGAAGAAAATGGGTATAATAAAGATAATATGGCAGTAAATTTAAAAAAAAAATATGTATGCAAAATAAAGTTAGCACGTCATGTAGAATTTTACAAGAATGATTGGAAGTGGATTTGTAAAGACAATATTAAGAACTAAGCAGGAACCTCATCTCTTCCAAGCACCCCATGTGAAGCAAATCATTTTAAGAATTGTATTCTCTATTCCCAACTACTTAATATTTAATGATAGAACAAATTGGTCTGAAATTAAGCATGGCATAAAGCTTAGTCTGTTTCGTGGAGATAATCCATGATACCATTACCATCAATCTTCATAAGTGTTATATAACAGAGAAAATGAAAAGAACAAACTATTCAACAATGCCTGTACCTGTTGGTGACCAGTTAAGCGAGCCTTTGGCTGTTTACTGCTAGCAGGTTCCCACAGAATCATAGTGAAATCATCAGAACCTGAAACTAGTCTTTCAGGAGCATTGTTCTTCATTTTGGTGTATTTTTTAAGGGCTGCCTAAGACCAAGAAAGTAATCAAATAGAGGATCAATAGCAGTAATCAATCCTTCTTAATCAGAATCAAAAGTAATTCAATAACAGTAATAGTTATAAAGTGCTAAAAATGAAAATGTTATGACTTATAAGTTTTTGCATAACTTCATAAAAAATGCACAAATATAACTGTGGATTTTAGTATGACAAGCAGTGATATTACCACCAATATCTTGTTCGAATATATGATCAAAGAAATAAATTGAAGAAACAATTAAACCTTGTTCATGCAGTACAAAAACTAATATCCAATTAAATTAAAAATGTGAACAATCTTTTTTTTTCCTTTTTTACTTAAGGCAGAAGTACCTCCTTCATCTCCTCTGCAGATGAATATGTTGTACCAGTATGATCAAATGCCCCGGTTCGCAGGGTGTACTCCGTGCTCAAAGCAAGTGAGTTGACCCAATGCCCATGTCCCTGAAATAAAGGTACAAAACTTCATGCACGGTACTTCATAGAACCTATTAATGATTTTGCCTTCATACACAGCAAGAAGTCATAGTTCAAAATAAACATTAGCTTTGCCGACGCATGAACACCAGTCATTGTTTATGGATTTTGAATAAAGATTCTTTTTCCGCAGAAGATTTCTTGAGTGATGCCTTGGCATCTAAATAAGTTTGACAAATCTAGCAGATCCCAGCGGCCTAAGCACTATCTATTAGAACATCCTATCGTTATTTAGTTATTTTTTTCCCCTAATTGAACTTGTGTCATTGACCTTGGAAGATGAAACGTTGCATATATGTTGTCAGAAAGATGAATAAGCATACTTTAACAGTGAACCCTTCAAAATTATTCAAATTCATAAGGTTAAATCCCATCTTATAAATCATATACGCAAAACTCATCCAGTATATAACCATAGGAAATGTGATCATAACTAAAAATACAATGAATTCTTTGCTTTTGTTCTATCCTAAAGATATCCAGACGAGGGACACAACTCAGTTTGGAAAAGAGAAGAACCCAAGTTTTAACTTGCAAGTGATAAGAAATAATACTTTTAAAGAAATAAAGCATTCAAAGGAAAAATAAGGTTGAATAAATAAATTATGACAACACTTTTGAATAAAATTTGATTTTTAAGACCTGAATTCGGTAAAAACATGAACAAGTTATAAATTCCAGCTTAATTTTCAAAAACCTTAAAAAGATGTTAACTTGAAGACTCTATCCCTAATAGCATGTCAAAGTTAAGATTATTGCAGGTAAGGTTGGCTAAGTGCATAAAAGATTTTTTGAACTTTTTTTTCTCGCCACAATCTCAATAATGACGTTGCAAAATCATGTTTTCTAGCGCCAAAAAGGAAATCACGAGACTAGTCATTCTCTATGCCTAAACAAAATCATTCTATTATACAGTAGCTTATCCTGCCGTAAAACAAACGGGCAACCCAATAAAATCAACCATGAGTAAACCAAGCCCTTGGAAAGAAAAGAATAAAGTGCAATTACCGTTTTTCTGAGGCTAAATAAAACAAAAGACCTCTCCAAACTTAAAAAAATCAAGAAATATTTCAACGAAGTAGACAAACTCAAAGTTCATTCATTAGCTTCACAAGCAAGAAGGTTCTAATGTAGTACCTTCAACTCACGGATCAACTTTCCTTGCGAAGTCTCCCATACCTTTATTGTACAATCCTGAGAACTGCACGTGTTTTAGGCCATCCAGTTATACAAAACACGCATAAATAGAAGCAAAAAATAAAACATAATTTTAGAAAAAAAATTACCATATTTTTAATAAGGGATTTTTACATACATAACATCTAAAACATCTTTATTTACTTATCTCACACCCAAACTTTAAATTTTACTATTTTACCACCGTAATGTCTATCCCTCATCGAATATAACACTTCGTTTGCTCCCATCAAAACCAAGTCATGAAAATAGGGTGTCCCACACGCTAAACATCTATGATAATTTTCTAAAGTGGAAACAGAGCTCAGTATGGAGATTAATGGCGGAGTAGGAAGAAGAAGTATCAGTAGAGAGATGAGCCTCGAGAGATTCAAAACAACCCGCTTTGCTTCGCAGAAGGACAAGGAAAAAATCCTCGCCATAGCCGCAATAAGAGCTCGGGTCGTTTACTATCTTAGTATAAATGGGCAGCTTGAACCCCCTCACTTCTTGGATGAATGCATGGCCTCTTTAATTCTTGAAGGCAAACCATCCTCTGTTCTTGATTCGTCTTTTTGAAATTCTGTATAGAACGATTTCAATATTTGCAACTAAGCAATAGAAAACTATGGAGGTGTTGTATAAAACCAGACAGGCTTTGGAAGCTGAAGAGGAACAAGATGAAGATTTATAAGAAGAAGAACCATCGCTCAATGCCCTCCGTCGTCTTCCTCCTCCTCCGACAAACCACCGTATGAATCTACCGCCGAAAGTCGCGTAGCATCTTGCTGCTCCGATCCAGTGCACCTCACCCGCAACTCTATCCTTCAATTCATCTCATGCGGCTCCGTCACAGTCAAGGGAGGTCGCGCAGCCGCTGCCTCTGCCGGTGCTCCGGCTACTATTAAGGGTAGGAAGAGTGAAAGCCTTTAAAGGGAAGTGGCAGAGTTGCAGTGTATGTCGGAGAATCCACAGTGGGTGGAGAAAGCCTTGATAGCACCGAAGAACTGGAGAACACGGAGAGCAAACCTACTCTGGCGACGAAGACACGACGGGTTTGGGCAGATAGGATAACAGAGTGGTAATTTAGATGAAACGGGGTGTATTTGGGTGGTATGTATGTAAATAATATACTTTAGGTGTTAGGTAGGTAAATATAATAATTTCAAATGTTATGTATGTAAAAACCCCTTTTAATAATTACATTTGTATTTGGATGACAATTTCAGAATGCATAACCAGATCATCCAAAGGATTGGATAGCAATGCTTAGTACTTACTCAAGTTTACTATAAGACAGATCATTACAAAGTAGTCTAAGTACATTGTTGTAATACTACCCATAAAATTTAATGAGTCAATCCTGATGTGCTAATGAGCAAACTAAGAAAGCTGTACACATAAGCATAGACATCAAATTTTCTATTTTTGCAAATTGCAGGCAATATAGAGCTAAGATAAATTCATTATGTCTAATATGTTTAAGCAAACAGAGGATTCACACCCAACACCCCATCACCATTTAGACAATGTTCCCAACACTTGTAAAGAAACAAACTGAGCTTTATTAGAGTTACACACAAAGAAACACAATAAACTCAATTAAAAAGGATTGGCAAAAATGGAGAGACTATTAATGCAAATTTACTTCTAGGAGTTTGCAAAGGAAGGATTGATGTAATAAAATAGAGCAAAATTGAAAAAGAGAGTAAGTTAAAGAAACAACGGTACTTTAAGAAAAAGTTGCAGAATGCATAAAATGATTTTACAATTATTTAGTAATATTACTCCATACGAAAACACCACACAAAATAACCAAAAGATGAACACAAATTGCTGGAAAATGAGAAAATTTTTAATTTCTCAGAAATGGCTTACAGTAGGTTCACGCATATTTTACTAAAAAAATAATAGACAAAAAATCAAACCATCTGAATTCAGTCATTCAGTTAGTTCTAAATAAGAATAGTTCCGATTTTTTTTTTTTAATGTGGATAAAGCCCTCCCTCGGTTTCTTTATACCAACTTCCAATGCACAAACAAGAAAGCAAGGCCATCCTACGAAAATTTAGACTAGAAGCCGAGCATTGACCTATATAAAAAAAAAAACAAGCAAATATTATTATAAATAATCAACTGGAAAAGAACAGATGTACCTTGTGTATATCACTCCATCACCGCCCCACTTAACACATGTCACTGCAAGAGTGTGACCTGTAAGAGAAATAGTACACCTCCTCAATGAAACATCCCAAATTCGGGCATCCCCATCCTTGCTGGAACTAACAAAACGACGGCAAGGAGCTTGCAAGTGTACAGGTTCCCAAGAAATAGCTGTAATCCACTTTTTGTGACCCTGAAGCACAACAAAAGAAGTATTGTTAAAGAACAAAAAAGTGTTGACAAAATGAAAACGGGAAAAAAAGTAGTCCACAAACAATGAACAACTCCACTTCAATAAAAAAAAAAACTCCACTTCAATAAATAATCCATCAATTCATAATGGATGGATGAGTATACATGTGCACAAGTTCTACACTGCATGGACGACCATTTGAATAGATATTATAAAACTACCAATTTTGGTTAAGAAAATAATGGATGTATTGAAATTAAAAACCTGTAAAAACAGCCAAGTAATACTCAAAAAACATAAAATGCCAAATCACTTATTATTGATTGGACGCTACTTATTGTTGGCTTAAAGAGAGCATATATTGTTGATTTCCAGTCCTTCCCAAAAAAGAATTCATTGAATTCCTTGTGTTGCCGTGTATGGAAGACCCATAATTCCACTGAGAAAAGGAAGACTCCTGTTGCTGTCAATGGAGGGCATATATTGCTTCAATCTCCTAACTCTAGTATGCGGTAATTAAATGGGGTGATTGGCTGTTGAGCGGACAGCTGGTGCTGTAAACGTTATAACCATATTTGTATTACCATGGGATGCTATTTAGGAAAAACATTATGTTCAAAAGATGCCCAGTTTTTATATATTCTTACTAGGGATATCCAATATTCAGTTTTTCAAGCTGCTTTACAAGTTTTTTGTCCATTGCTCTCTTATTTTCTAATTTTCAACATGATATCAGAGAGGAGAAACTACATCTAAATCCTTCAATGGTGAAGCATAGGAGGCTAGCACAAAAGATACCCCAGCATCAGAAGTTACCACAATGACAATCATCAAAGGAAAAACAAGATAATGTACATTGTCAAAAGATTGGACATTATATATATATATATATATATATTGGAAGATTCACAGGAAGCCAGTTGATTGGAAACCCACGTGCAATATCCAAGACAAGGATCACCATGGCAATGTTGACACCGCAACTATGAATCTTAACACCTATGGAATTGAGACCATTGCAAAAGGATGCACCAAAAATTACATCAATAGTCTCCACAAAACACCGCCTCTATCAGTAACACATGTTCCTTAGCACAAAAATATAATTTTCTAAATCTTTCAAGTATTAAAAAGAAAAATTCTTGTCCTTTGATTATGAACTACGGTGCATTAGATCACATAACTAGAAATGCATCTCTATTTCACAAATACAGCCCCGGTAAGGACCACCTCACAGTTCGGATCACATATTGCTTGTATTGGGTCTAATATCATCAATAAAGATCTAATACCTAGTTATTTTTATCCCCAAGAAAATTTGTTGTCCATAAGCAAACTAGAGATCTTAATTGTGTGGTTAAATTTTCATCTAATGTGTTTTTCAGGGCTCCAACTCGGGTAGATGATTGAAAATGCTAAGATGTGTGTAGAACTTCACCAACTTGAAAATGAGTGTAAAAAATAGTCAAATAGGCTACCAAGTATTATGCACCATCATTAATCAAGAAAATGCCATCATTTTATTGTACTATAGATCTGTCCATCTTTATCCCATGTATTTTAAAAAAACTTCCCCATTCAAAAAAATTCCATCCACTTTTAGTGGAAATCTATCAATCATCTGAATATATTTGAAACTCTACACTACTACAAAGCTTATCATCATTTTCCAATAATTCACAGTGACATTCGGAAACCATTTAGAATCAATAGCATAATTGGTTATAGGTGTTTTGTTACATTGATGATCACATCAGAATTACTTAAATATTTCATATGACTTAAAAGAGGGAGGTAAATCAAATCTTATAGAACTTCTATGACATGATACAAACCCAATTCTAAAACAACGTTCATGTTCTTAAGACTGATAATAGAAGGGAATACTATCGCTTTGACTTTGGTGAATACCTCTAGAACAATGAATAAGTTATTAGAGTTATTGTGGCAACACCCCCCAACAAAATGAAGAGATTGAAAAAAGGAATAGGCATCTTCCAGAAGTTGCTAGATGTCTTATGTTGTCCATTACTGTTCCTAAACAATTCTGGGAAGGAGCAATGTTGACGACTGCGTACCTCATTAAAAAAAATACTGTTTCAAGCACTTCAAAACACCATCTTAAAAGATCTTTGAATCATTTACAACAATTCATATCTTCTCCGCCATTCCTATCTAAATTTTCAGTTGTACAGCATAGGTACACTGATGCGGGCCGCCGACGACCGGCAGAGGGAGGGCCGGCGACCCCAGGGAGCGCGGAAGCGGCCGAAAAGGGGGGCCGCGCCTGCCGATTCGCGGAAGGGACGCGCGGGGGGATGCGAAGCGGAACGGGGGAATCGGCCTTGAGCGGAACCGGTCCAATCCTGGACCGGTTTGGCTCGGGTCAGCCTTGAGCTGGGCGGTTCACCTTGGGCAGCCCACTAGTGGGTTTGGTTTGGTCTTTTGCTTGCTATAAGTAGGGATTAAGGGGGGATTTCTAGGGTTATGCAAAAATTGGGTTTTCTCTTAGCCACCTTATTTTCTTTCTCTAAGTTTTCTAGGGTTTGTAGTGGGAGACCTTGTCCTTCTCGAAGTGGACAAATTGTATCTTGTTTTCTCTTGGATTTTAAATGCAAAGGTTCTTGCTCTTCATCCCATCTCTCTTGTGTTTATTTCTCTTTGATTTGGTGGAGAAATCATATCTTTGAAGGAGCATTAGGGCAAACCCAAACTTGGGAACCCTAGGGCGTATCATACACATACACCAGTAATTCTAAAGCAGACTTGAGTCCAAATCTCTCTAATACATATTCTTGTGGCATACTCCAAATGAAATGTGTTATTAACTATTAATCATCTATAGCAAGGAAATTTGGCATATCAATAGATGTGGCTTTCTTTTAAAATCAATCCTAATACCCCAAATCTTCTAATTAGAGGTGGGTGAATCATATCACTCAGGGATATCATATTTGAGAAAAACTATTACTCCACCAACTATTCCTAAAATCCAAACTTAATCTGATATTGGTTCAACTATCATCCCTACGCAAACTCAGCCCATCCAGAATTATATTAAAACCCATATTAGAGAAAAATCCAAAGATAATCTAGCAAGAATTTCATTGTTTACTCAAGAAAATAATAACAAAAGAACTGCAAACATCACAAACTAAAAAAAGATTATAAATCAAATCTTGAGACCCTTAACACCAGGAAGTTATCCAAGCAATACACTTATGGGCAAACATGAACCTCCAAATGATATATGTTTCATATTGCTCTAAAGAAAGGTATTTTGTCTCTTACTTAGCACCTCTGCAAAATTATATGACCTATGAAGGCTTGCCTCGTAAATATTTTGCATTTGCCATAAGACTTTAAATGATATATAGATTACTAGAAATATTCAAGAACCCATCAACCAACCTTTGTGAAAATGTGATTCTCTGGAATAAATTTGAGCATTAGAAAAAAAAACAAAGTGTGGGAAATCACTGACTTACCAAAAGGGAAGAGCAGTGTTGGCTGCAAGTGGATATTATCTGTTAAATATTAGACTAAACAAATGGCAGGCATTCTCAAAGCATATTTTGTTGCTAAAGAATTCACTCAACCTTATGATTTGTGCATATTGACTAACTTAATTTGATGTTTACATTGTTATCTCTAGCAGCAAATTATAATTGGTCACTCATCAAATTAATATAAAGAATACATTTCTCAATGGTGTCCTAAAAGAAGTATACATTGACATTCCCCTAGGTTTGGAAACTCTGGGTAAAATCAGCATGTTAATATAAAAATCTCTTTACAGCCTAAAACAATCTCCACATGTCTGGTTTGAGAAATTCACAAAATTGTAAGGAAAAATATATCTTCTTAATGCGAAATTGATCACACCATTTTTGTATAAAAATCATCAAAAGGAAAAATTATTTTCCTCATTATATATCTAGATAACATTATTATTACCAGAGATTATGAAAAAGAGATGGAAAAACTAAACAATCATATAGCTAAAGAATTTGAAGTTAAACACCTTGACCACCACAGATACTTCCTAGGCGCAGAAGTTGCTAGAACAAGAAAATGGTTATATATTTTCCAAATAAATTATGTTCAAAACTCCCTAAAGAAGACTAGAATGATTAATTCTAACGTTTATGTTCACCTCAATATTAGTGTCTGGATCAAGTCGAACGTGCAAGATAAGTTTCGAAAACGAAAGAGCGTGACCTCACGAGAAACTCACCCGACGCGCAACAACCAAAAACTCAACTGGTTAAAATGTTTTCCGCTCGCAAAACAAACAGCACCAGCACGTCCGGAGCAACAGAAACAGTTAAGATCGACGCTCATATTGATTGGGGTCGTTGATCAGTGAAAAATTAAATTGTGCGCACTAATTTTTTAATCGTGATTTGACTCGATCGCCATCACGACATCATCATTCGCATGTCATCGTCTTGATTTGTTCACACACAAAATTTATTTTTTTGTTGATCAATGACCTCAATCAATATGCGTGCATAACTTAGTTGTTTTCATTGCTCCGGACGCACTGGTGTTGTCCGTTTTAGGAATGGAGGTCATTTTGGCAATTTGAGTTTTTAGTCGACGCGCGTCGAGTGAGTTTCGCGTGATGTCGTGCTCTTTCGCTTTCAAAACTCGCCTTGCATGGTTGGCTCGACCCCGACACTAGTATTGATGTCAATAGTTTAAATCATGTCACAAGCCTTGGATCCCAATAAAAAATTGGGGAATTGATAATAAAAGTCCAGTGGATAGAGAAAGATATCAAAGGGCTGTTAAAAAACTCATCTATCTCTCATACAACATGCCCAACATTGGAATCTCAATAAGTATGGTGAGTAGGTTCATGAATAATCCAATAGAATAACATCTAAAGTTTTCATCTATCAATTCTTGAAATACCCAAAGGAGAATCCAGGAAAATGACTGTATTTCAAAAAGACAAGTCTTTGCGAATTTTGATTTGATTGGATCAGCAAATTATAGAAGATCAACCACTAATTATTACAACATTGTAGGAGAAATCTTGTAACTTGGAGGAACAAAAAACAAACTGTGAAAGCAAGAAGCAGTATTAAAGCTGAGTTTTGGGCTGTCTGGTTGTGTATGTTAAAGAATTTGGCTTAGAAGATTGCTTTAGGAATTAAGAATTCAACATAAAAAACCCACACAACTATTATGTGATAATAAGGCTTCCATCAATAATGCAAAACTCTAGTATATCATGACAAAACAAAACATTTTAAGATAGATCGACACTTCATCAAAGAGAAACTTAAGGTGGGATAAAGTATTGCCTAAACACCTACACCCCTTCAAAAGACTGACAGATAAGGAAAGGAGCATATATTGCTTCAATCTCCTAATTCCAGTATGTGGCAATGAGGCATTAAGTGGGGTAATGGCTGTCATGTGGACAGCTGGTGTTGCAAAGGTTATAACCATATTTGTATCACCATGAGATGCTAATTAGGAAAGGTATTATATGAAGAATACGCCCAGCTTTCATACTTTCTTAGGAGGAAGATTCAATAAGATATGCTTGCTTTATTAGCTAAGAAAGAGAGTTGTCCAACCATGATAAATAAGGCTTCTTGTATTCAGTTTTTTCAAGCTGCTGTAATAAAATTACTATCCTTTGTTATCTGTTTTCTGATTTTCAACAGATAAAAATTTGGATATAAAACCTTAAAAGCATTTAAAATGATATTCCAAAATCTTACGATGCAATTGGAAAACCTCAAACTAATATTGAATAAAGATACCAAAAAATCATAACGACATTAAATGCAGCCAACTGGACAAAAAGGAATAATCATGTAGAATTTACTATAAGCGGATTGCCAGATTGTTTCCCAGTTTGAGGATCCCATAGCAGAAGCTCTCCAGACTTGCTGCCGCTCACCAGATGTTTTCCATCTGGCGACCATGCTATGCATAGCACCCAATTTTTATGTCCTAAATAACAAGATAACATTAGAAAATGTTCAAGAAACTAACTTTCAAATGAAAAATGGTATATAAGACCATTCCAAACTCCTTCATTTATAAAATATACTGACAACAAACAGAAGAGATTTTTTTTTTCCAAAAAATAAAACAAAGTCTAAAGCAAGTGCAACTAGAAAAAAGAGAAAATGCCATAGGAATATGAAGGAAAATGCATAAAATACAGTAGTTAGCCTCAAGCAAGTAAGAAATAAGCTGGAATGCCAGTGAAACTCAAGCAATCAAACAAGACCTGAGCTGAAAAGCATTTTTCAGATATAGCTTAATAAGTTTCATACAAGATGAACAATTTAAAATGAGAAGATCCATGACATAGAGTTCATATAATCAACATCATTAGTAGGATCCCAACTAAAGGTTGGGATTATGAATGCTCCAATCAATCTGCTTTAATTCTATCTCCTCATCATATAAATACTTCTTCCACCCTTCATTGTACATACACAAACAACTTGAAATCTAATGTCTACTACCTTGCCTTTAATAGCTATTCCAACTGTCTCTCTAACAAAAAACTAACTCTATCATTCCTAGTTTTACCACACATGCCTCTTTGCATGCTCATCTCAATCACCACTCAACTTTGCTGGCAACAACTAATTTATTGCCCAAGAAATATCCATATAGCATAGCCAATTAAATTACAACTTCATAAAATTTGCATTTTAAGTATGTGATATCTTATGGTACATAATACTCTATGTACTCTTGAGGTTTTTCTTTAATTTGACCACACATCTTTAACTCTAGAAGATAAAGCTCATTGATATCCCTAAAATTTTTAACATTGCCCGGACTCCGATTAACATGCTTACATATCACTTAACTTTTTAATAATATTGATTGTTAATTATCAATTTAATATTCACTAAAATTATGAATTATATACATAATATTTATTCTATTAAACCTAAACTATCATCTTATAAAGGGATTTTCTCTATTGATCGAACTTTTCACTTACTACAATAGATGTCTCATCCATCAACACGATGTCATACGCAAGTAGAAAATTAACAATATACCAAACTTTAAATGCAACATCTCCATAAACAATATAAAAGATACAGTTTGAGTTTATCTAATCCTACTATAAACTCTTTAATCACTCTACAACTATTTCTAATAATAAGTCACTACTCCATCATACATACCTAAGATAACTTAATATTATTTACACATTCGTTCTCCTTAAAGTCTATCAAATAGATTCTTATTGTACTTGATTGTCTGTCATTTAAGGATCAACAAATATCATTTGCTCTTTATACTCCTCCATTAATTGTCTTAGCATACAAATTGCATCTTAAGTATAGTTTCTAGGCCAAAATAATTCTCTGATATTTATGTAATTTTCAAAGCCTAAGTTTCAAACCCCTCTCCCAGAACATCATTTTATAAGTCACATATTTTGCTCCCCTATAATTCTTTTACAAGGGGTTATCCCAAGCAAAATCCTTGGCCATACCACCATTTTCTACATCAATACATCTTTTCAATCTCATAATTGACTCATAATTAGAATAGGATAATTCATGTTCATGCCTCTCTTTGCCATTTAGCTAACCATTTCTTTCCACTATATAGTAGATTTCAAAAAATGATTATCACCCATTAGAAATGTTTAAGACATTATTTAGCCACTAATCCCTACCTTCACCATTCAGAAGTTCAAAATAAGCTAAATACATACAATGAATCTACATATTCATCATATGTATGCATGTGTATTTGTCTGATATGGGTTGTGCGTGGAAATTAGAAAGCCCATGCTCATCAAAATCACGAAAAGTAAACATAGGGACGAACATTATGAGTCAATAGTGTAGTATTTTCAATTTTTCTAGTTTATTTACTTGTAAGGCATGTCTATGAATATGATCCTATTGAGGATAGGATGTGCTTTATAGTGTTTTCATGATACAAGACGACACTTAAGATTTCCCAATGCAACTACTATGATATGTACTTATGTAGTTTGAATTAATGTAAAAAAAGTTAAGTATTCATAGATTCCAAACCATTCATTAAATCAACAATTTGCTTTCCCAGAAAGTAAATAATAGATAGTAGAATTTGAACCTAAATGATAATGAAATCATCCAAATAATCTAAAGAAATAGCAAAAATGTAGAACCACGTAACATCAACAAGTAATTATAGTTTAATTCTCACAAATAGCATTAATTATTTCAATTTTGAATAAACTAAAATCACTAACAATCCAATATCAAATTATGGAGACAAAATAAGAACAAGGAACAAAAGAAAAAAATAAGAAAAATCAAACCTCACGCTGACACAAGGGAGATGATATCCTTAAGAATTAGATAGCCATACTGGTACCGCAATCGAATGAATTGCACATGTAACTTGGACACTCGTGATCGAAAACTAGAAACATATTTTATTAAGCCAAAGTTCTTTTTGCATGCCTTATAAAAACTATTTATAAACTACAAATATCTAAGTTCGTAGATATAATTGATACAAGACCAACCCAATTCAATTCAAAATAACTCTTCCAAAATTCTTATATATAATCAAATATATGTTAAACCAATAAGAATATATTTTAAAATTCTAAAGTTAATCCATCAACAAATCGTGTCAAACCCATCACTATACAAATCATATAATCAAGGATTTAAAAAATGCAGTCACAACAAAACCCCACAATCACAACAAAAACAATAGAAACACAAGATACTGCAAACTTCTGCATGAAGAATTGCCTTGGATAATCATAACATAACACAACAAAACCAAGAATTTATTCCACTTAAAGCAATTCAAAATCAAATGGATCAAAAAGTTACTGCTTAAGGAAGAAAATAATGTCACTCTTGAACACAACTCATATGCATAATGTCAAATTCCACCTCCAAGCAAGTCGATAAAACCAAACACCACCTAAAGGTAGCAATTCCAAATCAATATGCCCGACTCAAAAAAAAAAACTCAAACTCCAACAAAATTGAACTTCTGATATTCAGAAAGCAAAAATAAACATAACTTTTGTGTTTTTTAGTCATCACAAGCAAGTATGTCATCAACGCACTAGCAATATAAATCCACCAATAATAATAAACAAAATTTCACCAGCTAGAACAATCTCAAAACACGTTGTATGAAAATATTTCACAGAGAATTGAATGTGAATTCACAAAGAGGAGATAGAAAGCGAAAAGAGGTCAAAAAAGTATCTTAGTAATGGATTTATGAAATAAAAATAAATCAGTCACATCAAAAATAGAATGCATATCAAAATTTTCAATATGCAAACATTATTGTATTGTGTTAAAAAATTTTAAAAGTTATTGCCTTTCTTACACTTAATTTTTTTTTTATTTCTCAATAGAAACCTTTTGGAGTTAAAAGTGCTAAACACAATATGCCTTTATCACAAAATTAAAATTCTCTGTACTCGTTATTTAGACAAACATAAAGCTTAGGGTTCTTAAAATTTCTCAATAGAAATCTATTGGAGTTAAAGTGCTATACACAATATGACTTTATCACAAAGTTTAAATTTTGCGTACATGTTGTTTACACAAGTATGAAGCTTGTGATCATCATAATTAGTAGTCAAATTTATGCAGATATATGCATATACATCAGGCAAATCATACCAAGGATTATAATATGATATAATACAAGCAATAAAGATGTGAATATACCAATATTTGTCCTAAGGAATACTGCTAGTGACCTTTAGCTAATTCTTAGAAAATGAGATGCCAAATGAAAGCACTCAAACAACACAATTATGATATGTCTATATGAACAAACTCCTTAAGGAAAACTAACTCAAATGGCTAAATATATTTTTTGAGAAATTATGCACCTTTGCAATTAACTGTTGAAGTTATAAATTTTATGTTAATTTTAAGATGGTCGTCATTAATGAATTTTCTGAAATATTAATGCCACTTAACTCTCATCATAAAGTTCATTATATAAATTTGAGAAAATGACAAAAATGGTCTCAAGACTCTTTACGAAAGATCAAAATAATCTCAAATTACAATAAAAGATCATTTTGATCCCTCAATTCCTTAGGAACAAAAATAATCCCACCATTGAACTATTTTGAATCTTTTCTAAAAACTTGAGTGACCAAAATGTTCCTTTAATATAGTCGATGACCATTTTGGTTCTTCATAAAGAGTCAAGGGACCATTTTGGTCTTTAAAAAAACTAATAATAATAATAAATAAAATTTAAAAAAATAAAAATGGACCATTTTGATCTTTTTCTCATATAATTTTGTATGCTAAAATCAAGAACTAAAGCAAAATTAACATAATATGACCATATATCATGGCAATAATATCAACATATAGTTCATCCAAAGTTAAATATTCATATTACCAATTTGTTCATTAGCTACATTAGGTATGATTTCTTCATTTTCAAATTCATAACAAGGCTCGATTCCTAATAAATGTTTGGATCCAAATTTGACCCTATGCTCACTTTTAATTTTACATTCAAATTTTGATTTCTGAACAAGCACAAGTTCAAGTTCAAGAATATAATTCAATATATATGCATAATCAAATGTAAATTCAAATTATAATTGTAAATTACTTTCTACATTTAAATATCTTCAAGAGTATTCATGAATAACATTTTTCTTCAATAAGATTAGATTTACTGATTAGATATATTTTATAAGTTAAAAACCTTAAGTTAAATTATAGCCATAAATTAAGATCAAGCATGATCATTGATAGATAGTTCATTCAAAAAAAAAAAAAAACAGAGTCAAATCAAACCCAACTCTCATACTCACACCACAGGTCGGCATTTTAGCGTTTTCTAATCTATGGAAAGTTCTCAATGAGCTCTTCATGGTGATTTAAAAATTGTAAAATCAGATTGCATTTGCAACCAAAACAATCAACCAAAGAGTCAAGCTAAAGAGGAAGAGCATTACAAGAGTTGAGGCTACAACAACTCGTCCAAATTGCCGTGAAGCTTCCTCTGGAGGTGGGGAAAACACTACAAACAAAGCTCTAACAATTTCATCAACATCATTTTGACCTTGACAACACATCATCCACCATCTTTTCTCCCACCACCAGGCATCAATATTCCACCCCCAACCCCCTCCCTTCTTTGATTTGTTGAAAACCCTTTTGGTTCCCTTTCAATTAAGTCAATTGACCTTACAACCTTACAAAACCCTCAAAAACACAATAATGTTTCTTCAAACTCCACAAAATCATAATACCTCCAACCACACCTTCATTACTATTGGGTTTCCCTTTTGTCACCCCACTATCTAGTTCCCCATTGTCTTTGTTAGAATTCATAGAATTTGAGAAGGGTAAAAATACCTTCTACTTATTATACAAAATTATCCATATTTATAGATCTATACAAGATGTCTTAATAAAGAAATAAATAGCTTCTAATTGATACATAATTGCCTCAATATAATCCTTCCTAATTCAGCTATCCAAATATAGAAGGATATTGGCGTGATCCAAGTGAGCCTCCCACAGATTCTCATCTTGACCGTGGGATCAAATGCCAAGGGATGACTGAGATTTTGACACTCCCCCTCAAGCTGGAGAACAACTTGCAATTACTCGCTCAGAGGTAGAGCTACATTGGTTATGGATAGGATATCAACCACTAGAGAAAGCCGGCAATGAAGGCCGAAGATGGAAAATTATCCTCAAAATTCCGACAATAAAGGTCGGTAGTGGGAACCTGTATTTCTCATAATTCCAGCAATAAAGGTCGGTAGTGGGAACCTTTATTTCTCATAATTCCAGCAATGAAGGCCGGTAGTGGGAACTTGTATTTCTCAGAATTCCAGCAATAAAGGCTGGTGGTGGGAACTTTGTATTCCTTTGAAATTCAGCAATGAAGGCTTCTCGGAGAAAATTTCCCTTGTCGACAATAAAGGTCGATGATAAAGATTTTCTCTCCTTTTTTTTTCACTAAAAAAGATTTTTTTTCTGTCCGACAATGACGGTCGTTTTTTTTTTTTTTTGGGAAAAATTACCTTCCTGGTTTAATAAACAAACCGGGCCACCGACTCTTTAAAAGAGTCGGACCGGGTAGCTTAAGGTGCGCACGCAGGGACTCAAGCGGGAGCAGCTCGAGCTTGCGGCTTTGCTCCTTCGTCGACTTCGCTCCTTCGTCGACTTCCCTTTCGGTCGGATCGGGAGCAGCTCGAGCTTTCGTCGATTTCCCTTTTGCTACTTCGACCGTGCCTGGCGGAATCGGAGCCTCCGTCTGCGGAAGTAACTGGCGGAACCGAGGCTTCCATCTGTGGCGGCTCCTTGCAAGATCGAGGGCTTCAGTTGCGGAATTGGGTCGACAGCCTTTCTTCTGCAGCGACGTCTTGTAGCGTCAGAAGGTTGGATTGTTCGGCGATGAGGGCCGGCGGATTGGCTCTGATACCATGTTAGAATTCATAGAATTTGAGAAGGGTAAAAATACCTTCTATTTATTATACAAAATTATCCCTATTTATAGATCTATACAATATGTCTTAATAAAGAAATAAATAGCTTCTAATTGATACATAATTGCCTCAATATAATCCTTCCTAATTCAGCTATCCAAACATAGAAGGATATTGGCGTGATCCAAGTGAGCCTCCCACGGATTCTCATCCTGACCGTGGGATCAAATGCCAAGGGATGACTGAGATTTTGAAAGTCTTGTACGGGAAAACTTCGTATGTAAAAAAATTTAATTATTTTATTTCATTTTGAATGTGACTATCTTTTTTCTGCTTTCCACCCAAGGGAAAAATTTCTTTTGTGAGAGTATACAATCCCTTGGAGAAGGGCTTCCAAGGAAGGAAGCCACCTAAAGCACGACCATTAGTAGAGGTCTTCTTCGATTTTTTAGTTATGCTTGGTATCCCCACTCCGCCATCATAAACATCCACCATAACTACTATAATCCTGGCAAACAATTATCTTTCTTACCACTATATGATTAGAAGTCTAAGTTTAATTAACATAACCCCTTACCTTATCATAATTCATCCCTAACTATATCAATAGTTGTGAAGTGAATTCACTGATAAAATATTTATCATAGGTAAATCAATTGTTCAAAGGAACTTAAGTGGAGTCTCTGGATTGTTTGCAACTTGCACTAGTCAAAATCTCATCCATTCAACATATTTCTATTACATATAGGTTAGACATTTTTAATCAAACATCAACCTTTTTACATCAAAAGAAATTTCAAACACCTTTGGAGAGGATGACAGCTCAAAGACAAACTGAGTCAAGTTTAGAGATGAGATTTAAAAAAGTTTTGCGAGGGTTGAAAAGCCAGTGTGACTTAAAACTTTTGAAATATTAGCCTGTTAATGGTTGATTAACTTGTATGAAGTAGCTTTGCTTGATTGCAATTTTCATACAAAATTGTGTACATGAATTATGGTATAATTGCTTGTAGTTGTTCAGCATATCATAGCTTTTGTTGTTTGCTTGTTTTTTTTCCTAAGACTACAAGAAGTATAAATAGTTTACTTTTGCTTCATCATCGCAATCAAGACACTAATGATTGGTTTTGGTATAATCTTACAATTTACTTCTTCCTTTTAATTCCAAGAACATTTGCTATATATTTTTGTTGGATGAATCCTTTATATCTAAGATTGTTAGTTGTTTGTATGAAATGTAGTTTTATTATGCATGCCATATGTATGAGACTTTGTATGCATATTCATATGCTGCCACGAATATGATTTTACTTTGTGCTTCATGACAATAGCTAATACATGGCTAAAATATTTTCTTTTTTTTATGCAATTGATCTAATGATTCATGACCTAAAATCAAGTTGATTGAACTTGCTGTTGAATTAATGGTGCAATCTCTTGGCCATCCCAGTTTGTATGCCCATGATCCAAGCTAAAGATGGCAAAATTAGCATATTTTTCAAAATTTCTAGTAATCCTATAAGTTATGCTCTCCGTATCCTAACATTAACGCGCAAAAAATATTGGGAATTTGCCAAGTCCTGGAATGCAATTGCACAGATCACATGTCAGAAGCTTAAGGTGGATTAATGGTCATTGTAAAATGGCCGAAAGAGATGAGATAAATATAACAACTGAGAAGTGAAATAGCATCATTCAAACCAGTATTATTATTTGACTCTTAAGCATGAACTCTTTTCATCTTGAAATCAGTATGAGATGGGAGACTTTATCTATGTGCAAGCAACATATGGTAAAAAAGTGAAATATAAACGTTCTAGCCACTACAATTTGTCAAAAAAAAAATCTCAGTAACAGACCCAAAAGAGCATTCAGCATACAACAAATTGAACGTGGCATCTTGAAGCTTTGAAAGGGAATTAAAAATTAAATATAGAAGCAAGGAAAGAAAATTTACCTGAGCAAGTGAATAATGGTGTCTGAGTGTTAAGGTCCCACAATCTTACAGTAGTATCACCAGATCCACTAGCAAGGTTTCTGCTATCAGGGCTAAAAGCAACAGAAAGTACAGCTTCTGTGTGGCCTGCAAAGGAGGCCAAGACAAGCAACATAACTTCTCTACAGCTTTTTAAATTTAGAAAAAGCATAAAACAATTAAAGTTTGTGAAAGAAAAAATAATCATATAAACTATCTGTTTTTTTTTTTTTCCTTTTTCGAGTTATTGGAGAAACCTAGTCTTAATACAAGTTTTCACCTCTAACCACATCCCATAAACCTTCATAATATAAATAATAAATTTATAAATACAAAACTGCCTTATAAATAAACTCTAATACCATACCATCAAATCAGATGACGAATGAATATTTGCACAAAAGCAGATTAGTTGGATAAGTAAAAGTTCATAGCCAAATATGCTAACTAACTAAAATTTTTATGATGAAGAATGAATGTTTGCACAAAATCAGTTTAGTTAAATAAGTAAAAGTTTAGAGCCAAATATGTTAGCCAAATAAAATCTTCATAAATGGAACAGTTATAAAAATAAATGTAGCTCCTTCATCGTGATGCAAGCAGATTATATAACTCTAGTTACAGTGATTACAAAATTTTCATATGAAAATACTAGTACTACCCTATTATGCACTAATATATATATATATATATATATATATAATGTTCCATCAATTGGTTATCCCAGCTAATCAACTACCTGCATTTTACATGTTATCCTTCTTCAACTTCTGGTGAGACTGATGGGTCTAGGTTAAACCCTGCTATTAGAGAGGGTTTTCGAACTATCAAACAAGCACGTTCATTAACATATATGACGTGTTCTCAAGCTATCAAACGAGTTTGTTCACGAGCATAACTAGCTAGTGTTTTCGAGCTACTGGTTGAGCTCGCTTACGAACAAACGAGCTATAATTCTTCTTCTAAACAAACTTGTTCATACATATTTTAAACAAACAATCTAACAAACACGAATATTTATAAATTAAGAATCATTTTTATTACATATAACTAACTAATATTATAATAAAATTAATTATAAATAAATTGTATATAATATCAATTTAATAGAATTTTATAATATGTTTTAATTATATATATTATAATATTTAATTTATTTTAAAATTTATTAATTACTATTTATAATATCATTAAATTATAATAAATGTAAAATATTTATGTAAGGAATGTTAATCAATTTTATAATCAAATATCACTAGAATTTTTAATGACCTTATTCACGAGCTCTATCAAATAAGAATCGAGCATTATCAAACTTCATGTTGAGCTTATTTGCGAGCTTCAAATGATGTTGTTCGTAAACATAAATGAGCTGAACGCTTAGTTGTTTAAGCTTGTTATTTAAGCATCGACCAGTTAAAAAAATAATCAAGCTTGTTTGCTTAATTAAACGATCACGAATGACCTTTAATGAAGCAGAGCAACTAGTAGCTCATCGAACGCTCAGTTTGTTTGTAGCCCTACCTCATAATAATGCTTCTTCAAAACACCTTGTTCCCTCACCTTAGAAGTGAATTGTTGGCTATCCTCTTTGAAATGCAACATCATAGTTCCATGAGCTTCTTCTTAGTTTAACTACGACATTTCTTCTAATAAGCTAATCCCATGCTTCGTCCTACATAATAACTTAAAAATTTATCCTTCCTAGCTCCACCAACAATGCAAAACATAATTAAAAGATGAGGGTGCGGTGCCTTACCCTGACTATTTGGTATCAGCTATATGAATACTTATTCAACTAAGAACTACATTTTTGTATACTCCTGCACAAGTAAATCTTTTAAAGAGACCTCAATGCTATTTTTTTACTATTTCATAGCGTTATCACGTTAATTCTCTCTCCCTCCTTTGTTCCATCTATTGTTCCTAGTTAATGTCCATTAAATTTAAAATCATCTAAAAAGTAGTGCTTTATCCTTAATAGGCATTACCTTGAAATTTTCACATATAAGCTTTGATCATCCTTTGTTACTCTAAGCTTTGATTGATGCAACATAAATTGCAGCATTGCCATTAAATAACAGAATTTCCCTTGAATGATCATATGGTATTTGTTAAAAAACACAAAATAGCTCATTAGAAATTTTATTATCCCAAAATATTTGTCGTTGGCTTTATGAATCCTCCTCCTTATCATACCACCATTAAAAACATGCTTTTTGTCTCTTAATTTTGACCATCGAGCATCAGATCAATGAGGTAATTCATATCCCTATCCATATTCTTGGAGATGTTGATCCCGATCATATATGTTAGTTAGTTTTTTGTAAAAATAATTGTTCTCTATGTTAAGCATTAACCATAAATATGCTAATGAAGTTTATTAAAACAATTCATTACTTTTTTGCCCATAACTGACAGATTTATGTAAAATGTCCAAAAAATTGAGCTTCTGCAGTACCATACACTTCCAACATTGGCATCTTTCCAAAAGCAACCAACATAACAGCCGGACCATACACACAAGAGTGTATTGATCAAAATAGCTGTTTTTTTTTCCTTCTGCCCACACAACAGCTCTTCACATGAATGCATAGTTGCATACCCACTAACTAGGGGCAGATCAATGTTTGATTAAGGGAGTGCGCCACTTAATCTTGTAAGGATTCTTTGCTACAAAACATGAAAATTTCAAATTTCTTATATGTTTTAGCAACTGCTACCACTAATCTTGGGTAAATGACTGTATGAGGCAGGGCAACTCCAAGCACAGCTTTTGGCCTCCATCTCTTATGACTTTCCGAGTAGGCTTCTAAGTGAGTTTAAGATAATGCGTACTAGATACGTTCAATCACGCTGTCATTTTTAACAGCATATAAGGTTTAGTATGAATTTTTCAAAATTACTTGACACACAGTACAGAGTTTTGCTTTGATGGATTCATTGGATTGGTTTTTTGGCAAATGCCTGAATATCAATGCTCTCTTCCATATGGTTATTTCCCTTTCAAGAAAGTTTAATTGTGGTTTGGCAGGTTCATTCCATATAGAATCACATAAAATTTTATCTGAGGTTTGATTTTTATTAAAATACTGTCCTTTGTTGAATAAATGATTTAGATAAGTATTGCCAGTAGTATGCATGTAAAGTTTATTTGTAAACCAATACTAAATGTATCTATATGTGTTCTTTAATTTAACATTATGCATTTATGCATTTTGTAGACCAATATTAAACATATCTATATGTGTTCTTTAATTTAACAATATGTGTTTAGGTTCACCCATACAATATGATAATAAATTTGCATGATAATATTTGCAAATAACTTACGATTTTCACTATGATAAATATTTAATCTTTTGGTTGTAATATTTATTTATCTTTTAAATTTATTTTGATTTGAGGGAAAGTTTTTCAAAAAAAAAACATTAGCACCTAAAAAACCATCAAGAATATGTTAAAAGTTGCTTTTAAAAAATGAAATTAATTTGGTTGACCTTCAGATGCATTCAAGATTACAACTTAAATTATTTAACTGTCATCAATATGAGGAACATAGCTATAGGCAATCTAATTATTCAAATGAAGTTTGTATAATGTTAATTTTACTTTGAACAGACACCCATAGATCATATAGTTGCTATTATTCCCCATAGATCATATAGTTGCCATTATTCCCCCACCCCCCAACCACCAACACAGGGTCTTGGTCCACCACTGCCACAAATACATGCCAAATGTAATGCAAGACTCAAATACAGCAAACAAATGCAGTAAACCCTTAAAATATAATGCATAACTCAAATACAAGTTTAGGAGCTCGTGCTATAAGCATTATTGAGTTAAGGCATGGATGCTAAAATAAAAAACCTGCAATTGTAGCTGAACATCGATTAACTGGACGAATTCGGAAAATTGCTTGAGCCTGGTACACTATGCGTAAAACCTTCTCCACCGACACTGTAGAATCACATAAAAATGTAAATTCTTCAACAGTTCACAGTAAAACTTACCTTTTGACAAAACATTATACATGAGAAAAAACCTTAAAAATGCACAACTATAAAAAATATTCAACTCATGGGTAAAACACCTTTATTCTTTTGCAGATATTCTCCAAGCTGCATAACAAGCTCCTGATCTGATATGTAAAATGCATATGGCAACTTCTCCTCCTATTAAGCGGGAGAAAAAAAAATGAAATAAAGTAAGTTTCATCTACAAAGGCCAATTATGATTGTTAAAAAGACGAGTAAAGATACACCCCAATGTATAATTAGAAAGGATATTGAAAAGAAATCAATGGTTTATCACAAAAAGTAACACAAATCATGATCTTCAAAACTTACATTGAGATTTATGTGTTTATACTTCAAAATGATTCAGGATAGTACTAAATAATACTTATAATCTCAAACTTCGCTACATGCCTTTTTGCTTTAAAATTCAACATTGGCACTTGGCAGTACGAAATATTAATATAACAGACAGAAAAAGAATCCTTGAACCTCGCATATTACATAAAATAAGTAAACCAGGCAACGATATTTCAACAAGGAATCCATTGTGAATCATCATTTATGAATAATAACCACCAAAACGAACCTCAATAACACGGTAGAGAAGTAGGCTCACAATCTCTGTGATCAACCTAAAACTAATAAGCCAATACGGGCTTCAAGAAGTCCCCTAACTTGCCTTAACTTGAAAGAAAAAATGGGTAGCTTGCATTTTAGTTATCACAGTAAAACGAAATTTCGCTTTAAACCAATCCCAACTTAATCTACAAGAAAAAAAAAAAAACTAAAGGATTCAAATTTCATTTCCACGTAAAGAAAAATAGAAGCTTTCCAGATGCCTACTTCCTGAAAAATTAAATACATTAAACGCAAACCAAGATTAAAACCCTACGACTACGACATCCACATGCCAAAATAAAGGGGAAGAAGGCCATAGAGGTTACATTTTGGTGGAGCTTGTTGACAAGTTGCTGCAGCTGGAGTGGTCCGGCGTTCTGCGGAAGATAGAGGGGTGCACCGAGAGGTTCTCCCTCGAGATTAGTCAACAAGCACATCACACTGTTATTGGAAATTATTTCTCCACCACTGACTACCGTTTCCATCTCCCACAATCTTACAATAAGAGTGCAACTCTGTAGTTGATTACGATCTCGGTGGGAGGACAACCCGCGGAAGAAGAACTATATTGATACAGCTCCCGTCCAGAATTCCTCGCTTCTTTTTCGTCTTAGAGGGTTTAAGTTATACAGGAGCTCCCGAGGCCACTTCTTCGCTTCTGTTTCTTCGTGAGTTCCCGCCGCCGCTTCTTCGCTCCTTGTTATTTGAGGGTTTCAGGTTGGCACCGAGAGGACAGGGCGGGGAGGAAAGGCGAGGGTTATTTTATACAATTCTTGTGAAATTAAATGTAACAATTAATATTAAATAATTCAAAATATATTAAATAAAACAAATTACTTATTATAATTTAACTTGATTAACAACAATTCTTTATATAATTAATGCTATAAATTCTTAATTAATGATTAATTAAAATTTATATCTTGCTAATTAGAAATTAAGTTGTGTAACTAAAATTGATAAATAATTTATTGATTAAACTATTAATATTTAATATAAATATATGAATTTATAGCTTAAATTAAATTTATTGATTAATATCAGTGAATTAAAAACATATTAACTTAAGTAAGTTAATATTATTTTTTAATACGATTGAATATAAATTATTGCTTACTTATTATGATAATTTATTAAGTAATGATGAATTAAAATGTTATCTTATGTTAAATGTGATCTCATTAATTTAATTAATATTGATATAGGAACAATTAATATAATAAAATATCGTAATCATTTAAATTCATAAATCCTAAAGTTAAATAATCAAATTATATCATCTAATTATATTTAAGCTCTATCATATTAAGTTTTTTTATGACTTAACTACATAATTATTGAATTTACTCGATACAACTTGAGTTAAATCCTACTTGCAGTCAAATCTCCCTGGAAGAGTAACTTGATAGTTGAATACTTAAATATGATATAAGCGGAAGAAACATTCAGGGTTGAAGAACTCCCTCATTAAAAATAATAAGATACCAACAATTTATTATAAATTCTTAAATATTATGTTATTTCGTGCTATAACCGAGCTAGGCCCTAGTAAATTCGAATCAAGTAGCCCAAGTTCGTCCCACGGCAAATTATTACGTCCGGTGTCTAGTTTCGTCCGGACACCAATCCAGACGCACCACGTTATCAAAATATATCGGGATCCAGTGTATCCGGGTGACGTGACGCCTATGAATTGGATGTCCGGATGTCCGGTGATCGAACGTAATAATTCGCCCCGTCCCACAGGCTGAGCCGGGTGGGGGCTCTGTGCTGCCAATAGCCTAGTCAATAATTGACATTATATAAATTTTGAAATAGATATGAAATTTTGTAGTCTTATCTAATCATTTTTAATCAGAATATTTCAATAAAATTATTTTCATTTTAAAACGGAATATTGGCCATGCTGCACTGCCGAACTAACCTAGGCCACCGATGGCGAGCGCCTTACGATTCGTGCAGCGGTCAGCCTCCCTCCATCAACTCCCATTATCCGGACTGAGCAGCTCGCGACGCTATTTCTCTATCTTACCTCCGGCGAGCAGTGGTCAGCCTCCCTCCATCAGCGGTCAGCCACACCATATTCCATCGCCGGGTTACCAGTGCCGTCGGCACACGGCACCGTCGCTCCGTCGACGATTCGCCGGCTGGGGATAAGCCCATAAGCTTCGAGCATGCGGTATATCTTTTCAACAACGGCGATTACCACCGGTGCCACGACTTCTTCGAGGAGCTCTGATACGAAGCCGAAGAGCCTACTCGGACAATTCTTCACGGCATCCTCCAGTGCGCCGTTGGCTTTCAAAATCTCTTCAACCAGGTGATGACAGATTCAAACTCTATCTTTGTAAATTGGTTTTAGGTTAGTGTTTAGAGATTGGAAAATTAAGGTTTCTTGATTGGGCTAACAGAACCACCGCGGGGCGATGATGGAGTTGGGAGAAGGTCTTTGCAAGTTGAGGAAGATGGGGATTCGAGAGCGGGCCATTCCTTAGATTCGAGCAGGAGATCTCAGAAGCTTTGGAGTTTGTTTACCAGACGCAGAAGGAGCTTGCCGCATGTAAGATTTATAATGTTCTTTGACAAAAAATATATGTTTTTTTTTTTTTAAATCTTTCGCGCTAAGTGCTATTAATTTTTCTTTTTTTGGGGAGAAATTTATGGGCTTAGCCCAATTTCATAAAACTATAAGAATTACAAGTGAAGTAACGGTTACAACTTTGAGTGAAAGAAAAAACATAAAGCTAACTGAAGCTGCAACAAACAAAACCCAAGCATCATTGCTTGAAACCAAACTAAAGGGTGTAGCAGCACACTCCCAAAAATTGCAGCAGCATAAAGAGATTCAGAACTTGAGAAGATCAAATAGCAGAAACTAGCAGCAAATGCAACAGATTAAAGTAGTAAATGCAGAACATAATCCTTCGAACTCCAACTAGAGATTTTAGCACGCAAGGCCTCCTTAATTTTGAAACGGAGGAGATTGAACTGATTTTTAAATTTCCTTGCATTTCTTTTACTCCAAATAAAGTATATAGTGCAACATATAGCAGGATAATTGAAGTGCTTTTGCACTTTGTGTTCAAAACAAAATCCCTCAAAAAGCTGAAATATATGATGCATGTTGGTCTGAGTAGAAAATTATCACAAAAAGGAAAAATATTCGATATGATGGCAAAAGTGTAATTATTAAACCTACAACAAAGAACAACGTAAGAGATCAAAGGCAGAGAGAACAGAGGAGAATAGTTTCTGCTTCTATCATTTCATTCATTGCATTCCCGTGAACAATACAGGTATATATTGATGATAATATAACCAAAATGTAAGTGGAGAAGTGCTTATGCTATGCCAGTCGTGAGCCATGTGCTACGTCTGCTGTAGTCGAAGGTGGACACGATTTTGTGGTATGATTACTGCCAAAGCATGTTAACAGCCTCCCTCAAGCTGATGGTGCTGGAGAAACCATAAGCTTGGTGTGAAGAGTTGTAAAACGAAGACAAGGAAGTGCCTTAGTAAAAATATCAGCAGTTTGATCCTGGTAATTGATGTGGTGCACATTAATTGTAGCGGACTTAATGCAAATCGCGTATGAAGTGATAATCCACCTTTATGTGCTTAGTTCGTGCATGAAACACGGGATTATGAGCAAGTGTTATAACTAATACATTATCACAATAGAGAGAGGTGGGTGCTGAAATAGAGAACTGAAAATTAGCTAGAAGGCGCCTAATCTAAATAATATATGTGGCTGCAGTAGCTAACGCACGATATTCAGCCTCCGTGGAAGAGCGAGCTAACGTGGAAGAGCGAGCTAACGTAGGTTGTTTTTTAACACACCAAGAAACAAAAATATAACAGTTACAACTTGGATTGAATAACCTGAATTATGTTATGTTATGTTAGTATTTATTTTTGTTTGAAGTCTAAACTTGAGGTATGTAAACTTTTCAGTGATGTACTACTTTGGATTTATGTAATGGCTTTTTAATTATCTTATGTTGAAATTTAAAGTTATTAGTTGCTTCCGTTTAATGAGATGTATGAGAACTGAATTGTTGGATGTTTTATAAAGATTATCAAATGTTCAAAAGTATCGTCTGATGAATTAAAGAAGTGTTTATGTTAGTAATAGTTCTTGTACTGTTAAGAGATATTATGTGGTGTTACAAGACTTGAGGAGTTTCTTATGGGAAATAGGAAGGCCAAAATATATTAAAGGATGTCCAGTCGAAGGGATGTTGAGAGTGTTGCAGATATCCATCGCTAAGGGAGATTGATGTTGGGTAAGGATGATGAAGCTTTGGTTATAGTTGATATTAAGTCCTGAGAAGGCAGAAAATTCAGAGAGGATATCGTTGGGTGCATTGGCATTTTGAATAGAGGTTTTCCCAATGCCAAAACATTATCAACATAGAGCAAATCAATATATTTGTAGTTCCCAACATTAACCCCTTGAAAATGGTTAGCAGCCTGTAATAATGAAGAAAGAGCATCCATGACAAAACAAAAAAGCAAAGGAGAAAGGGGGCAACCCTACCTAAGCCCATAAGTTGAATAGAAGAAGCCCTCAAGCGCAGATGGAGAAATGGATATTAGAGATGCAGGTCTTGATCCAAGAAATAAACATCAAAGGAATGCCTTTTTGCTTAATTCTATTAAAAATAAACTCTCTGAAAATAATGTCGAATGTCTTGTAAATATCAAATTTAGCACAGAAATATTTTGATGAAGCTTTTCTTTTGAAATCATTTAGCATTTCAGATGTCAAGAAAATGTTGTCAGTCAAGACCCTATCCTGAATGAAACCAGATTGAGCAAGATGAATCAGGTTATTCATAAGAGGCCTAAGTCTGTTAGTAAGGATCTTGGCAATAATTTTATAAAAAGAGTTGCAGAGAGATATGGGTCTAAATTCAGTCACATTTTTGGCATGACTAAGCTTGGGAATAAGGACAATGGCCGAAGTTTTGGCCCTTCTAAAGAGATACCCAGTTTGAAAAAATAACGTGACAGCTTTACAAACATGATCTCCAATGAATATCTAAGTGCTTCTGAAAAATTCAAAGGTGAACCCATCCGGGCCAGAAGTAGAGGAAAGAGGAGAAAAGAACCACTGCCATGATTTCCTCCTCAGTAATGGGGTTGCTTAATTGCAAAGCTAAGTCAAATTCAAGAACATGGCCAAGATCAATGACAGAGATGTCTATAACAAAAGGTGGATGAGAATTATAGAGTGGTGAAAAATGCTTAATAAGGGACTCAGAGATGCTTTTGTGAGAGGAGAAAGAATCATCAGCAGTAGTAATTTATTTCACACTATTATAGTTTTTCTTGGTGTTTATAGCATACAAAAAACTTCAAATCATCTTTCCCGTTTTTTAACCACTTAGCCTTGGCTCTCTGACTGTGGAAATTATTGGTTTCGGACACCGGACGTCGTCCAGAGCCCAATAAAAATGCGCCACATCACCCTCTACTCGATAATGAGCAGTACCAAGCAGTACCGACTCGGTATTGCTCTGTACCGAGCTCAGTACTGTTCAGTAATGCTCAGTACCGAACTCAGTACTGCACAGTACCGAGCTCGGTATTGCTCGGTAGTGGATAATGTGGCTGCACCTGATTGGTCTCCGAACGGTGTGTCCGGTGTCCAAACCCAATAATTTCCCCTCTGACTGACCCAATAGAACCAGGAAGAAGAGCACTATTAATTTTTCTATTATTAAGCGGTGACAATACCCTGTTGGCTCTAATTTTAGACTCCAATAACCATATGTAGCTTTATGCTTTACTCGCAAAAACTGACTCCCATTAAAGATTCAACAGGAATTGGAATATTCAATATTTATTAGGATCCCAGTTCAAGGTGTGCAACGATCATGTTCCTTTGTCACTTGGGGCATAAGAGATTCAGGTAGTTTTATAGTTAAATCTAAGGCTTTTTAAGTTTCATACATCTGGTGTAGGGTTCAAAACTTGATATGGCCATGAGGCTGGTTAGTAGATGTGGTTGTCGTGCTGATCACTACATTGGTCCGTGTTAGATGCATCATCGTCCGAAAAAATTAGTGGTATGCTAAGAAATAACTACTTCATTTAACCAAGACGTAGCCTTTTTTAGACCAAGGCACAACCTTTGTCGACCAAAGTTCAATCTTGGCGGACCAAGGCTCACACCAACTTGAAGATCAATCTGATCATGAGGGTGGATATTGGAAAAATTTACATCAACAGGCAATTTTTTGTCGGGATGATGAGATAAAAGTTTCAAAGTTTTAAGAGAATGCTCAAAGCATGAAACATTTAAATAGTCACTGATATATCACAAAAAATTGTCTTGATCGGGCACAAATCTCGAGGCATATCCATGCAAAAATTATTTGAAATGAAAATGAGAATCATCCAAGCTCTAATTTCAACAAACTTATAGTTGAATTGAACATCTTGACGATACAACCCAACGACACCAAAATCAGTCTAATCCGAGCTCAAATGGGCCCAAATAAAGGGTCCAAAGCATATTTGGAGGGTTCAAAGCATTAATTGAATAATCAAATGATCGTTGAATATGGCATGCTCATAGTCAAATCGAGCAGCTCGACCAGACGAATCCAACGAGCCTAGAATCGCTTAATTCTGACATCATTAAGGCACATAAATGCTTGATAAATGCTCTATGATCAAGAGAATCACTATCAGCTATCTGATGGAACACTCGTTGTATGCCCCCTCAATCTTCTCCATATTTACAAGCCATGTTACTCTAAAAAAAACTATGAATAGTCCCCCATTATTCACATGAAGGGGGGAGGAAGAGAAGAGAAAACTTGGGAGTTCTCTTGCCACCGATCACCATTGACGTTCTTCCCGACCACCTATCGTTATTGGAAGTCTGCCCGTTCGTTGGCCGATGTCGGATTCTTCCCAACCACCGACCGTTGCTAAACTTCTACTCATTCTTGGACCATCACAAGATTTTTTCACCTAGAATACCCGACTGAAGATTTACAAAACTATACAATACATTGTATTCTCCCTGTCCTAGGGATAAATGACATATTGACTTTTGTAATATATTCAAATACTAGTGAAACCATTTCGACTGGGGAAGGCCCCGTGATTTTTTTCTTTTTCGGAAATTTCCACATAAAAATCTTGGCGTTTTCTTTATCATATGTTTGTGTGTTGAGATTTCATACATCGCTAAGACAAAGTATTTTTATTCTAATACTGTGAAATTTTCAACCCGCAATAGTCATAAAAAATATCATGGACCATGTTCTAACTCGGAGCATTTGCCTTATAACTTTGTTTAATTTTTTTACCATCCTGATACAAATTGCATCAGGATAACTCGAAATTATTTTTATTTATGGGCATCATAGGTGTGAGAGGCAGGATCATGAGAGTGAAAAATTATTAAGTGCAGATAAGAGTTTAGATACCGTTGTGTATATAAATGTGTCCACCTTCCAACTTACTTTAATGGATAATGACTGGAATTTCTTAAAATAGGTTTTATTTATTCTATAGTTGAATATACCGAGTGAGATCACTGCAGAAGGAGCAGTAATTTGCGCTATGAAACTATGGACAAGCAGTTTCAAAGTCCTTCAAAAAACTCCATGGCTTTTTCCAAAGAATTTCAACGTTTTCTTCATAATGTAATTTAATGTGATCCATCGTTGAAAGTTTTTGTTTTTCTTTCCGATTGTTGCTTTGTAAAATGGATAAATTAGATAATTTTCTTACAAACAACTTTGTTCAGGAGTGACTTAAGATGATATTGTGTATGCTTCATTTGTTTTTATTGCTGAGCCAATGGACGTAAAACATAGAAACGTTAACTATTGATATTTTTTAACAGAATATCAACCCTAACCAACCTGTATAGTGTTAGTCAGCAGTTAGGACATCCATTTTGTAAAAGTAAATTTTTATTGTTGATACTTGAATTTGCTTGACTAACCTTGGATTTTATATAATCATGATGTAGCATATGTCACATTTTTATTTAAGCATATTAAATTCAAGTTTGCCACGATAAGTGAATGCTTTCAGAAATCATTTTCTACCAATTTTTCCATTACTCTACATTTGCACTCTTTCTTTCAAGCGTCCAAGCACAGGCTTCTCATCACCATTGAGTACTCTCCTTTGCTTGTGTGATTTTGATAGGAAATACTTGAGTTTGCAAGTAACCCTAAGAGAAATACTTGAGTTCGCAAGCAAACCTAACAGTAATTGGTGAAAAACTGTGAGAAAACTGCTGATTTCATAGAGAAATCAGCACTACGAAGCAAAATTTTCAAAAAATGGAGAGAACAACATAAGCAAACTTCTTCTATTCAATCCACGAACAAAGAAAAATAATAAACGATACAAGTTTCTTCAATTTGAGAGGAGTAAATAACTCTCCAAATCTCTAGCCAAGCCTAGAGCCTAAAGGAACAAACCGTAGATCTCAAATATGATTTCAAACTCAAGATGAAACCCTAATTCTATCATTAGCAACTAATTAAAGCCAAAGGAGAAATACAAAATCCCTAAACAACCCTAATTCAAATATTTCCATCCAAAGCAATTATTAATCAAGGTGTGAACGGGCCCCATAGGAGCAGCCGGCCCCTTCCTCTCCCTTTTTTGGGCCGGCGGCTATAGTATAAAACCGGTCCACTTGGGTCCGAAGAATTTTGTAACTAGTCAACGTTTTCTTCATAATGTAATTTAATGTGATCCATCATTGAAAGTTTTTGTTTTTCTTAACGATCGTTGCTTTGTAAAATGGACAAATTAGATAACTTTCTTACAAACTTTGTTCGAAAGGAGTGACTTAAGCTGATATTGTGTATTCTTCATTTTTTTTATTGCTGCGCCAGCTGGACGTAAAACATGGAAACGTTAACTATTAATATTTTTTAACAGAATATCAACCATAACCAACCTGTTTAGTGTTAGTCAGCAGTTAGGACATCCATTTTGTAATAAGTACATTTTTATTGTTGATATTGAATTTGCACGACTAACACCTTGGATTTTAAATAATAATGATGGAGCATGTGTCACATTTTTATTTAAGCATATTAATTTCAAGTTTGCCACTATAAGTGAATCTTTTCAGAAAATCATTTTCTACCAATCTTTCCATTACTCTACATTTACACTCTTTCTTTCTTGCGTCCAAGCACAGGCTTCTCATCACCATTGAGTACTCGCATTTGCTTGTGTGGTTTGTGCATCAAGATTTATCTGAGATTATTGATTTTGCTCAGAACATGACATTGATTTGGATTATTATTGAAGCAATGCTAAGGATTCGTTTAGGAGCTGCTTTAAAAAAAGTAGTAAGAAAGCCGTCTCAAACGAAACCTAACTATATATTCTTTGACAACAGGGATCTTATTATATCTTTCCATGGTTACTTCAGGTGCTGATGACTTGTGCATCGCAATGGATGGCTCGGAAGTATCCTATAGATTACTGGGAAGCTTTGCTGCTGGGCAAAATCTATACAAAGTAGATCACAGTCCAGAAGGATTACCTTGCATCATCTTTACTTCAAGTCGCCATCACGTTTTAGATAAGCCTTCCATGGTTAAAGTTCCCACACTGGACGCAAGCAAAGAACATCTTGAAGCATTCCAGTATAGAAGTAAATAAGAAGGTTTCCTTTCATCCTCTTACTGTATATTATCTCTTTATTCTCACTTAAGATTGTACATTTTGTCAGTAAGTCTTCCATGATTACCTCAAGAGCAACCTTATTTTACTTGCTAAGAAATATAGTATTTGGAAATCATTTTGTGGAATCTTACAGATATAAGTTATTTTCATAATTTTTATTTCTTAGCTTCCGTTCAGTTCTTTCGGGTGGAAGACAACCCTCATTTAATTTACCTTTATGAAACCTTGTAGATGTTTTAGTGATCTGTTAATCTAGCATAAATATGTCAAGCCAAATCATTGAAAACCTAAAGTGAACCATACCGGAATCGAAAATTTGATTACTAAAGTTTCGTTTCATTTGGGACGGCTTTTGTATTGTTCTTAAATTAGCTTTTTAGTATAAAAATTTTAATTTTTGTACTATAAAGCTGCTTTAAGAAGCAGTAAGAAAGTCATCTCAAACGAAGCCTAAGAATTGTGTTTTTAAACCATAAACTAAATCAAACAATTGCACTAAAAGTTTTTTGTTCAATTTGATTTAGTTTCTTATAATGGTAATTTAATTTTGGTTTCAAGTTTGTTAATTAGTTTTTTTTTTTTTTTTTTAATGTTTAGGTCAATTAAGTCAAACTTACACAAACATTACAAACACAAGCTTTGAACCAAGGATCTCTTGGTAGTTAGCTAAAGCTCCCAACCAATAAATCAAGATGAACTGCATTTAAATAGTATGGTGTTAAATACGTATGAATTTGGAATGAAATCATAGTGTACACCACTAGTTTACAACAACAACAACAACATCAAGCCTTTATCCCACTATGTGGGGTCGGCTATATGAAACCTTTTTCTCCATTGTGTCCTATTAAAAGTCAAATTCTCGTTTAAATCTAATAAAGAAAGGTCATTCCTAATATTTTCTAACCAAGTCTTTT